ACGTTTTTAAGTCTAAGGGAAATATGGATTAATATTGTGTTATGTTGTGAGTGTCAGTATGTTGTTTTATTGAGTCAAACCAGACCTAATCAGAAGTGTTGAATTTTTTGGCTTAAACACCACCTAACCATTTTCTAGCACTATTCTTTAATTTATTGATTGTAGGATGTATTGAATGAAAACACCTTAGCAGATCGATCTATTAGTAACATCTACGCTTGCTGAAGAATGTACCGGATTTAATAGGTGGGTGAAGCTATGAATATGATAGAGTTGGGAAATTTTATACAAATCGGGTTTGTAAACATCTGAATTTCCGTTCTCGGGTTTGAATAAAATTTAAATTAAAAAAAATAGTACTATGAATGTATAGTAACAAACAGCTTCTTTTTACTACCATTGTATTTTCTTGATTACCATGAGCCATAGACAATTTATAACACGTCTACTTTATTAAAACAGAAGTACCAATAAAAATACCCATAAAACCTGTAAATTATTTACAACAAAGGGAAACCGCGCTTCGCGCGGGACGTAAACATATCTTTTATTTGATTATGCTAAGAAAATGGTAGATTATATGTGTTAATGTCCTATTTGCTCAAAATTGTTATAAGTTATTATATTTTGTAGTGGTGGAATAAACGAAGGTGATATGTGGAGTATGAGTGATACATATATTGTAATCTGAGAATTTTAAATTCAGTTTTAACTGTTTGTACATTGATTTTGGGATGTTCCAATAATAAATAAAATTCTAATATTTCATAAATAATATATTAGTCTTGTACATTAAATTATTTCTTAACATCTTGTATTAAAGTTTTCTTTTATTATTTATATTAAAATATTTTGATACAATAATTTGGAATCACAATTTATCTGCTAATATATATTTCAAAAAATTTTATAAACGAAATTATTTTTCATGACATTTTAAAAAGGAAATAGTTTTCTAAGATATGAATATATCTATTTTATTTCAATTCCTGCATTATCGATTTTTGGTTTTTGAAAAGTAGTTGAGATTAAATATATACATGTATAATATATTAACTCTTTACATGAGAATACTTTCAAACATTTTAGATTATAGTACCCTGAAACGTTTTTTTATTAATTTTCAATATAAAATTTAATTTAGTTTGATCAATATTTTAAATATGTAGTTTATTTGTAAATATTTACTTGGCTGTGATTTTATAAATTGAAATTTTTTTTGGTTTTTCGATGAAATCTTAAATTAATTATTTTAAAAATATGAATATATATTAATTTTAAATTTACATATTAGAATGTGAATACAGTCCTCCTAAATAACAAAAGTGAGATTCTTCACTTACTTTATTAACCTACCTACGTTTCAAATTACAATCAATCAAAAGTGCACCAAAAGAAAGAAGATAGTCCTAAAGAAATATTCAGAGAAAAATAGACAATCATAACAGACTGAAGAAAAGGAATAAGTGTCTAGTAAGGAAGAAAGGAAACTAATTGAATTTTAAGCGGAAGTTAAAGTTAAAATGGTTAACATAATAATACGATTGCAGATTGTATGCCTTCAGTCCAAATTAATGTCGTTTTGGCTACAGAAAAAAAAAAGATAATGTCCTTTTGGCTACAGAACAACATCTTCCCAACAGTTTTGATTTTTTTATTTTTATTTTTTTCTGGCAAGGATCTAACATCATAGATAAACTTCTGTAAAACCTAAGTTTTCATTCCTATAATACTGACTTCCAACACTTGTGAAGAGTACTCATCGAAATTTATTAACAAAATATATCAAGTTATATACATATGTTCCTGTCTGATCATAGCTAGCTACACACATCCCATCAACTAATACATCAACTAATAGAGAGCTATAGTACTCACAACAACCGAGACAGCTTTGTCTCACTTCCAACCCGACAAAAACCCATCAGATCGGACTGTATCTGCAATCGCATGTTTGGTTTTAACCACCCACCGAACCACTCCTTGTGGCCCCTCTTTAACAGATAGTAATCTGAAATCAAAAAGTGATCTGCCATACTTCCCGCATACGAATTTTCCTTGAATCACCTTTTGGTTGCACCAGCCCCACTTGTCCATCAGTTCATTGACCATGACGTTGTCAATAGCAGTCTGCCGAGTTGGATCCTGCAAGAAACAACAAAGACACACATGAAGCATGAATGGGAGGAAAACAACAGCTTTAGAAACAAACTTGAAGCACTAGACATAAATCAAGGAAAGACTCACCTATTTTGACCCCCAAAAAAAAGGAAAGACTCACTTTCCAATCAACGCTTGGCCAAGGATCGAGTTCACATTTCCAACAGCCTACTCACATCAACAAAAAAACAAATAAGAAAAAAAATCGGACAACACTTCTTTCACTAACAAAGCAGGTTCTCATCAACTTGGAGACACCCTTCCCAAAGTAGTCCAATCCACCCTTCCCAAGGTAGTCTGATCCACCATCCCTGAGATGAAGGGCCTCGTAGATACCAATGGAAGCTCCACTCGGAACCACGGTTGTAACCTTGACCACCTTTGATATGTGGACATCGACCCATACCGTTATCAGATTAATATCCAGCAATCATGAGCTTCATTTATATGAATCTAAATCAATCTCTAACAAACAGATCTAACGTGAGAACATATCCAAATCATGAAAGCTAGGTGTTGGATCAATAAAAACAGATAGGTTGCAATAATCATATAAACATTATCAAGACCATGATTGATGATCGACGATCCATCATCTTCTCACAATATGTATTCACACTATCTAACACAACGTTGGTAGATTTTCTAATCTTTACTAAGTGTATATGTATAGGAGTTTACCATAGCAGGTTTCAGTATCCAGTATTGTACTCGTAGTTGTGAGTCTTGTGACACGTCGTTTTAGTTAAATGGAACACGCATGAGGGCTTCTGTTGCAGAGCCTTTTTGAATTCACGCACCGCTCCATTCCTACGCTCTCATATAGATAGGCTTTCCATCTTTATAAATTCATGATACTCTTGAGGACAGTGCATTATGATGTTGTCCAACTCTGAGAACCTGAAATCATGTTTCGAGCAATAAAGCCAAAATCTTTATTAACTTGGAATTGCTACTACCAAATATAATATCCAGTTACCTTTATAATGTGATATGTTCCAAATTCATTCCTCCATTTAAACATTTATTCCCATGCTGTGACAATTGTGTTGATGTTGGAATCCATTGTTTTGAGAAACGTAGTCTACAAACATTAGTTCTCAAAACAAAACATAATCGAAACACATCATGAAACATTTTTTTTAAAATTCATTTTTTCCATGATACTATACCTCAACGGAATATGATAATGATTAATGTTGATTGGATAAATATATTAGAAACATAGCTGGTGGTGTTTTTCACAACTGCATTTTCCAGATCCCATTATTTCTTAATTAACCTCTTGCAAAATAATCATTAATAAACCATTATAAATTCCAAAAAGACTGATCTAACATCGGAGGAGATGAAGATGAACAATCCAATCTCCACTCGTACTTTGTTTTGAGGGAAGAGTTCAGAAATTACCGCTATAGGCATGTATGTAGAAACTTGGAGGCAACCTCCCCGGCGGGAGGGGATCTTAACTTCAGCTCTCGTAGAATGTTCAACTCGAGGAATCTAAGACCTTCAGTATTCTCCAAATTAGTAGCGACCTTATGCTCGTGAGGTGACGAACTGAGGCCAGTGATAGTAAGCACTGTAAATTAGCTGAAAGAGATTAAAAAAATCGGGAGATGGAGATTTAATCGAACCAATGAAAGAATCAATCTCATGGTCGATGATGTTTGGTTTATATAGCTAGTTTGGGATATGGGAGAAGTTGAAGAGAGTTGAATACCTTAAGCTCCTTAATTGTAAAGGGCAATAAGGGAGGAAGATAGGTGATATCGGAGAGGCGGAGATGTGTAACGGAGATGACGGAGATCATGAAGAGTCGAAGACAATTACTATTGTACTTCTATACACGGATTCTTTAGGCCTAATTAAAAGAACATCCTCTCAACAATAAGCCCAAAAAGAGACCCAATTTGTAGAAGACATGTGTCCTCTTTTCCTTGACGTTGTAACATTTGCAAAAGCTCTCCCATGGTTTCTCGTCTATCGTCTGTAATTTTCCTGCTGCAGAAGAAGAAATCTAACCCTAAACGACAGGAGAAGTTGATGAATAAGTGGGTGTAAGATATTAAACACAACAACAGAAACAACCCAACGGAAGCCCAAGTTACGATTTCAATTTCAAGCCCATCACAAAAATGCCACGTGTAATTAATCCCCCTATGGAGAAAAAAACTCAACTTTATTAGTAAAGATTCAATAACATTTAGAATTTAATTTATTTAACATAATTTTTTTTTGTCTTTTCCATGTAATTTATGTTTTCCTAAAATAATTTAAAGTAGCTACAATATAGGAAACAAATAATTAAATTACTATGCTTATCTTTTTCAGGTAGATAAATAATAAAATTAACTCAATGATTTAAAATATATCTACTGTAGCCTTCTAAATTAAATTACGGTAACAGAATCATTTTTAGAAAAATTCATGACTATTAAGAAAATTATGTTACATCAATATTTGTATTATAATTTTTTTTGGCAGCATTTGTATTATAATTTATATAAGTATATAATGGTGTAAAAAAATTTAACTACATCAATAAAACAAATAAAAATAAATGTCCGCGCGGTCGCACGGATCCAGCTCTGTCTTTATCCGATTATGATGAGTTAGGGTATAATTTTGAAATGGAGTAGGCTTTAAATCAAAGTATTGAGCCTATGCTGGGCCTTAAAACTGGGATAAAGATGGGCCAGTAACCAAGAAAATAGAGTTGGAGACGGTCTCTGTCACCACCGGGTTTTAAGCCGCGAACTCAGTCATAAATATTGTGATTCAAATCAAATATTAGCGATCCGTAGAAAGGAGAGAGAAAGGAGAGGAAAAGCACAGAGATGACGCCAGAGAAGAGATTCATCTACGAGGTGGAAGCTGCTAAGGAAGCCACCGATGGAAAACCATCCATTGGTCCTGTCTATCGTAGTACTTTGGCTAAAGACGGATTTCCTGACCCGATCGATGGTATCGTCAGCTGTTGGGATATTTTCCGGTGAGATTCCTTCTTCTTCTCTGAAAATTTTGGTCCGTCTCATTTCTGGAAGATTCTTTTGCGGAACTGTACACATGAATACATGATCCTTGATTGTGCTAAAGGGATTGAATGGTACGTAGCTTTTTTCATGTTCTGAAAACATGACTCGGCAACATGTACACCATTCGCAATATTAATCAAGAAATGATACAAAAAAAAATAAATAAATAAAAGTATATTATATAATCTTATCTCTGGATATTTCTAACATCAACTTGATGTCTAGACGACATCCTAGTTAACTTTTTATTTTTCATATTGCATGCAGCACGGCTGTTGAGAAATATCCAAACAACCGAATGCTTGGCCAACGTGAGATTGTGAACGAAAAGGTATTACTTTAATTACTATTGTATTTAGTTTGGATTTTAGCTTTGTGGTAATGTTTTCGAGTTGATAGACTCACATTTCTTTTCTTCACCTTCTTAGGCAGGAAAGTACGAGTGGAAAACATACAAAGAAGTATATGACATTGTCATTAAAATTGGGAATTCTCTTCGCAGCTGCGGGTTTGAGGAGGTTAATATTCCTATATGTATATATAAAATCTTCAGTGTCATAATTGCCTGATATGTGGGAAATGTAGGGAGGAAAATGTGGTATATATGGTGCAAATTGTCCTGAATGGATCATAAGCATGGAGGTACGTTAAATATATAAACTTTGCTTATGTCGTTTAATTGCTTTTACTTTTAAAGATTCAAAGGTGCAATTTCTTCTCATGCAGGCCTGTAATGCACACGGCCTCTATTGTGTCCCTCTATACGATACATTAGGTTCGCCTTCTCTAGCTAACACATATTTTGTTTTGGTGATTCTACTCTTCAGAGTCTTTCTAGCGTATTAACTTTCTGGTTTTGAACACAGGCGCTGGTGCAGTGGAGTTCATTATTTCTCACGCAGAGGTTGCAATTGCTTTTGCGGAGGAGAAGAAAATCCCTGAGGTATCTTCACTTGAGTCATGTGTTTATCTCTGTTTCCTCTGAAAAAGAAAGTCAAATCTTGTTGTAACTTTTTTTTTTTTTACATTTATTCTGTGAAGTTAATTTCCCTTTTCGTCCCATTGTCAGCTTTTTAAGACATGTCCAAACTCTACAAAATATATGAAGAGTGAGTCATACTAATCGAATTTTTCACCATTTTACGCTTGTGTTGCTAATGAGGAACTCTGTTTGATTACAAATGCAAGCTGTTGTGAGCTTTGGTGGGGTCAAACCGGAACAGAAAGAAGAAGCTGAAAAGTTAGGTTTGGTAATACATGCTTGGGATGAGTTCTTGAAGCTGGTAGGAGACTTTCATTTGCATTTCTTGACTTCTTTACTCGTCTCTTTTTCAATATGATGATTATTCAGACATAGTATTTATGATGATTATTCAGACATAGTATTTATGATGATTATTCAGACGTAGTATTTATGATGATTATTCACATATAGTATTTATGATGATTATTCACATATAGTATTTATGATGATTATTCACATATAGTATGATATCTATTACATATATCAAGTTTGGATTTTACTTTGTTTTTTGTCTATGGCAGGGTGAAGGTAAACAATATGACCTTCCCGTTAAAAAGAAAAGTGACATATGCACGATTATGTATACTAGCGGAACCACTGGTGACCCAAAGGGAGTTCTAATTTCAAACGAGAGCATTGTTACTATAACAAGTGGTGTGATGCATTTCCTACAGAGTGTGAACGAATCAGTGAGTTTCTTCTTTCTATCTTTGTCATCATCATTCTCAAGCAAAAGCTGCAATCTTAAACTTGATTGTTCTACAGCTAACTGAGAAGGATGTATATATTTCCTATCTTCCTCTTGCTCACGTCTTTGACCTCGCTATCGAGGAATGTATCATTCAAGTGGGCGGTTCAATTGGTTTCTGGCGCGGGGTAAGTAAAGCTCAAAATTTTGATAATCTGATACTATATACCCATCTATGAATTTGTTTGATTATATTCATATGTCTATATATGTTCTGTCCTCAGGATGTCAAGCTTTTGATTGAAGACCTTGGTGAGCTAAGGCCAAGTATTTTCTGCGCTGTTCCTCGTGTCCTAGAGCGAGTTTACACAGGTATTTTCGACTATTTTCTTTATTTCAGTATTGAGATACTTTCAACCACTTATCATGCAACCCATCTCAAATAGGGCTGCAGCAGAAACTATCTGTTGGCGGTTTCTTCAAGAAGAAGGTTTTCAATGTTGCATTTTCCTAGTAAGTCAGTCTTTCTTTGTAACCTATAACCTATGTTAACCGTTTCTTGATCTAACACATCGAAAACCTCATCAGTAAATTTGGAAATATGAAGAAGGGACAGTCTCATGTCGCGGCCGCTCCATTCTGTGACAAACTTGTCTTCAACAAGGTACCAACTTCAAATTTTATTTTATTTTTATCTGAAATTCTTTTTAGGCTTCAGAATAGCTAAAATTCCTTTTGAACTAATATATTTCTCTCTGTCAAGGTTAAACAAGGACTGGGAGGAAATGTGAGGATTATTCTATCTGGAGCAGCTCCTCTTGCTAGTCACATTGAGTCATTTCTTAGAGTTGTAGCATGTTGTCATGTTCTACAAGGATATGGTAACTTTTTAGACCTAAAAGAGCTTCAGTTAGGTAACAATACCTTTTCTCTTATGATTGTTACCTTGGTGTAGGTCTAACTGAGAGCTGTGCTGGAACATTTGTCACGTTCCCAGACGACCTGGACATGCTTGGAACAGTTGGTCCACCTGTGCCAAACGTCGATATACGCCTGGAATCTGTTCCGGACATGGAATATGATGCTCTTGGAAGTACCCCGCGTGGCGAAATCTGCATCCGTGGGAAAACCCTGTTTTCTGGGTACCACAAACGTGAAGACCTAACGAAAGAGGTTCTTATTGATGGATGGTTTCACACAGGTTTTTAAACTATTGTAATCATTGCCAAAATATAGTTTTTCCCCATTTTTCTTACACTATCTACTATGTATGTATATATCTCACCAGGTGATGTTGGTGAGTGGCAACCAGATGGAAGCATGAAGATAATTGACCGTAAAAAGAACATATTCAAACTCGCTCAAGGAGAGTACGTTGCAGTTGAGAGTTTAGAAAACGTCTACGGTCAAGTAGAGGCCATTGATTCAGTAAGTCACAACTTTATTATTCTTTTTGATATTGTTCTTTAATTATAAGCATATTTTCATCAATTAATATGATTGTTTTATATAGGTATGGGTGTATGGGAACAGCTTTGAGTCCTTCCTTATCGCAGTTGTTAACCCGACTAAGCAAACTCTTGAACGCTGGGCCGTGGAGAACGAAGTGGAAGGAGGAGACTTCAACTCTATCTGTCAAAATGCAAAAGCGAAAGCATTCATACTTGGAGAACTTGTTAAGGCAGGCAGAGAGAGAAAGGTTTTCTTCTTCTTCTTTTTTTTTCTTTAAGCTTTTCTCTTGTCTTCTTCTGTTTTTCAATTCTTTGAATTTGTAGTTGAAAGGTTTTGAGATCATTAGAGCTGTTCATTTGGAACCGGTGGCTTTCGACATTGAAAGAGATCTTCTTACTCCTACCTACAAAAAGAAGAGGCCTCAATTGCTCAAATACTATCAAGTAATTTTTAAATCACTTTACATATGGTTTTGAGTTTCTTAAAATTGGTATTAAATCTCTTTCTTTGTTGACAGAATGTGATTGATGAGATGTACAAGGCTGCAAAGGAAGGTCAAGGTTCAGGACAGTAGATTCCTTCTACTAAATATTTCAACATTCTACTTTCTTTCTTTCCCATTATCAGGCACGCCTTTCTTCATTAAGGTTCTCCAAATAAGCTTTTGTTAATGTCTTGAGAAATTACATTAGCATCTTAACATGCTACTACTTTTGTTAATATCTTAGTATGTTTCATAGTATCTTGACATGCTACTTCATGTCTTACTTTATACTTTTATTTCGAAAGTCCAACAAATGTGTCTAAATATTGACAAGCAACATGTCAAACTGAAACTTTCTTAAATAGCATGTCCAAATGAAATTATACTTCCCAAAGTAGAGTGACATGATTTGTTAGTTATTACAGAATAGTGGACGGATAGGTAAAGGGAATTGACGACGACGAAAAATTTAGTGACAGAGGATTTTATTTGTAAACATATTAGCTTGTAACTAGTTAATATTTCCTCTATTTCTTAAAGAGTGTTATTTGAAAATTTTGCACACAATTAAAAAATATATTTTACCATTTGTTCATACACTAAATAAATTCTCTTTCTAATTAATATATTAAATAATAGGGATAAAACTGAACTTTTAGTTAAAATTAATTCTAAAAATACACAATGACACTTTTTATGAAACACAAACAAAATATTAAAATGTCATTACTTACGAAACGGAGGGAATATACTATAACAAATATTTAATCGCTTATATTTCTTATTTTTAATTAAAACTTCTAAAGATAAGTAATTTACAAGTGATTATGGAACTTATTTTAAGCAAATTAAAGAACTGAGTAATTAATCCTGAGCTATATTTCTCATGAGTCTAAATTTTAATTTCCAAGTCTCTAAAAATACATCATCAGGTATTTCACTAAGTACGTTATTAAATACATCAACACCTAACACATACCAACAATATAAATGAGCACACATCAACACCAAGGCCAGGCTTGATCACCATAACACAACGGACAATTCTGACACACACAACATCAAAACAAACGTCACAACACCAAAAAAGCAGAACACTCTATCACACACAATGTTAATACCATCACAACACTAAGACAACTGAACACTTTGTCAGAAGCTACGTCAACAATCACACAATAAAAACTCAATGAAAAATTATACTTTGTCCTATAAGTTCGTCTCTTCTCATAAGACATGCCTTTCCTTATATAATAAACCATCAATTTGTTCTCCAAATTCATTAAATACATTTTGATGAACTTCATTTTCCATGGAATCTTCATTTTTCTTGCAAGTAATATTTCTTCTCCAAGCAAAATCATTTAGCTTGATGGAAAATGTCATTTGTTTTCAACAAGATATTATCTTTCCTTTTCCAAGCTATATTTACACACGCAATCACAACTCAACGTCTTGACATACGTCTTGACACACTTCTTGAACTACCTAATGTAGTATATCACAAACTTATACTAACACCTTAGGAAATTACATCTTTAATCTCCCTCTTTTTGACTATGCATATGACTCAAAAACTAAAACATGAAGCTACATCTTCAAGCTGTGAATAATTATTGGCTATGTTTTCGCCTGGTCTTTCGATTGCTTTTGTTGTTTGTAACATGTGAGTTTGTGGTAACTTTTGTTGGTTTGTGATCTTCTCAAGACTATGTTGTTGGGTCAGCTACAACACTTTCTACGTTTCTTCTTGTAGTTTTATGTTGTTTCCTAACAAACATATTTTGAATTCATCCTAACGGCTGGTCTTCTGCATTTCTCTTTAGGCTGATTATGTTCCTCACATGTTTGTCTATCAACTTGATTAATTGAGTTGGTAGTGAAGATGTTTCCCTCAAGCTATATATGGTTGGTCATATCTTAGAAAATGTGTCTTAATAGTAAAGAAAATCGTACAATCATGCTTAGCATTGGTAATAAGGCCATCAAATGGTTCCAATGCGTTCATAGTAGTCTATATCGAGATATCCACATATATTTTAAGGTTTCGACTGATATTCGAAGTTATATTATCAAGGAGTCACTGATCTAGTTCTGAGTAGTTAATACACTGATCTATTAGATTTCTTGAAGTTTTCAGATATTTGGATTATCCACCTTAAACGTAAGTGTGTGGAGACAGAAAACAAAGACTTAGTGGATATAACCACAAGCTCAATAGACTAGTCAGTTTTTGTTTTAGAGATTGATATTTTTTAGTCTAATAATTTTGAGAGTGCAAGCCTATTTCATATATTCCAGACCGAAAATGGACAGGCGTACTAACTAGCCAAAAAAACTAGGATTCAGAGATTTTATTTTCTCCGAAATATATCACACTGGCAGATAATAGTGCTCTTCTGAGGACTATTTTATCTGATTTAATTTTGGTCTGATTAAATGGGTAACTGACAGAAAAACGTAAGTGTATGGTTTGATTAAAAAAACTTTGATCTAACTTTTTAATAGTAAAGTAATACTAATTTATTAAAATATGATTTTCCAGTCAGTTTATAGCCCAAATACAATGAAGCTGCTTGCAAATCAATCATGAGATACAGAATTTAAGATAACTTTAGTCTTTGACGCTGGACTTGGTCAGTAGAAACCTTTATGTACGATCTCGTCAACACAAAAAATCCAAGAATGTTTTTTTTTTCCAATAATCATGATGATAGATTTTCTAGTCCCAAAGACTAATCACCATGAAACCCGCAAAATTTACGTTTTTTTACCATTTAAAATATTTCAGATGGTCAGATTTGAACCCTGGCGATATACACAGTTGTGAACTCTTTACCACAAAAGTTGGAGATTTCGGTTAAAAATGTCAATGCTTGTTGTTTTTTTCTTTTGAAAATTAGGAATTTCGATTATATCCCTTAATGTTTTTTTATTAATTTCTCTATTACATATATTATCTGCATGGAGTTCCATATTCTAGTGTCAAAATAGTTTTAACATATCCTGATTATTTTAATTTATCCAAATAAAACAATCCTGATGTTGTTTTATTGAACTAGAATTCTACTTTTAAGTAGTGAAAATCTAATGAACAAAATTTATTAAAGAGGAAATCTCTTAGCGCATCTCCAGAGATAACTATTTAAAGATTTAGAAAACTTCAAATTTAAGGTTTGATACTGTTTATATCCAAAAAAAACTTTATATTGAACTAAAATTTTTATGTGTAACATTTTTGTTCTTCAAATTGATAAATTTAACTAAAATATAATAATTTTATAAATCATATGTATATCATCTACAGTAAATTATCATTTATAAAACTATTCATGAAATTATTCAATATGGACATGAAAGAATCATAAAAAGAAGAATTCAATAAAAAATCCGACTTTCAGTTAAACCAAACTTGTATGAAAAATAATTTGGATATTCTGAAATAGTTAAATCATATTTACATAAATTTCAGTATTATTTTAAAATTTTATACTCATATATAATAGTTAAACTATAAAATATAAGTAAGTTTTATAAGATATAAAATTATAAGAAGTAAAATTATTTTGGAAGTTGATAAGATTATTTAGAAGAAATATAAGGGTAAAAAATAAAAAATATGAAACTTCAAATATAATGTTTTGAATATTTATACATTAAATTTGATGTTTGAATGTTCAAATCTTAAATTAAAGGTTTTAAACCACATATAAAGTTATAAATGTTAAAGAATAAAGAAGAAGGTTGTAACTCTGTATATCTTATTCATCACGTGCACATACATATATATACATACAAGAGAATAAGTATATTCCTTAGGAGATAAGGATTACAACAATAAAGGGGATGATTATCCTAATCCTATAATGATTAGGATAACTACAACATATGGATAAATACAAGGAGCTGGATGTGTGGATANCCTTGTCGGACTGGTCTCCTGGTCGGATGGTACTTGACCAGTACTTGGATGGGCTTATGATCTGCATACAACCATTGTTTGCAGGCCCATCTCGTGTCCTCTTATGTCCCACGGATCCACTGATCATATGGCCTAGCCATTTCGTGGACATACTATATAGAATCATAGACCAAAACATATATGAACCAACCTTAGGTTCTCATGGACACTCCTAGTCCATTTGGTCATACATCAAATGTATGTGGTAATGGTCTTGTCCATTATGGTCGATATCCTTTCCTATCCTTTGGGTAAGTTCATGTTAAGTAATAGACCTTAACTATCACGTCCATAACCTATGAGTTACCTCACCAGTTGCTGCAATGAATATTATGATCACATCAAACCATGGATCTGCAGCAAATGCTTATGGACCTTATACATGACTTATCGACCTTTCTTGCCTTTAGCAATACCATATCTATTAGGACATAACCATGCCTACTTCTGGTCACTCCTTTGGACTCTTATAGTTTTCTTTAATCCATTAGTACTAGCCTAATGGTCGTGCCTTCATTCAAGTCCCACACTATAACCTTTGTACTTAAACATCACATACCATACTTCCTTTGATGGTGTCCCATGACCTTCTTGTATTAAGCAACGTACTGAAGTACATTATGGTCATGGACCTTACCCACACATGTCAACAACTCGCCAATGAGTGCCTAATGTTGCCATAACAACATGGCTTATGTGTGGTGATGTATAGGTATAGTTTTATACTACATTGGTTCCTTAAGACCTTTAAACTATGCACCTTGATATTTTAGTACCTCTAGGTCATAACCACGTTTTGAACCAACATATTGGTCATCACACCATGGATGATTGGACTTAGAATGTAACCGGACCTTAGCCTTGGTCGGTATGAACTTTGGTATGGACCAGATGGCTTCCTTAGCCTTTCCATACGTCCACCTCTTTATGAGGTTTGGTAGTGTTGATTTCAACACTTATGCCAATGACATAGTCATTGAACCATCCATCCTTTCTATGGATTAGTTTACT